ATGCCAAGACATATCAATTGCAAGCTGAATCCTCTAGTTGCAAGCAAGGGGAGAGGAGTCTCTCGTTGTACTATTCTGATTTGACATCGATATGGAAAGAACTTGATCACTACCAGAATGTGAATTGGAAGTGTGATGAAGATGCAAAGGCATATAAGTCACTTGTATCTCAGCAACGGGTCTTTTCCTTCCTCCTAGGGCTGAATCCTTCATATAAGTCCATCAGGGTGCAGATCTTGGGTAGTAAAGACTTGCCAACAGTTCAGGAGGTATATGCCTTAGTACAGTCAGAAGAGAGTAGAAGAAGTGTGATGAATTGTGTAGAGAGGGAGTCAGTTGCCCTATCTGTCTGGGGAAATTTAGATACAAATGTGGGAGGTGTTTTTAAGAAAGGTGACTCTCAAAAAAGAACAGATGATAAGAGTAAACTTTGCTGCACTCACTACCACAAAACACGACACACGAGAGATACATGTTGGGATCTCCATGGAAAACCTAAATGGGCACAGGATTTGGGTAGGAAGTCAACACCTAATCAGGGCAAGAAACCAACAAAGCAAAATCAGAAAAAAGTATAACTCGGCTAATATGGCGTCGACAGAGACTAGTCCATTGGTAACTCAAGAGAGGCATCCCAGTTTTGACCCCAAGGAAGAAATTATCAACTCCTTTCGTGACCATTTGGAATTGTATGGTAGGACTCTCCGCCAGATGGATTCCAGTCCTACTCCCTCTACCTCTTTCGCGTCTACATCAGGTAACGCTGCCACTGCCTTCCATGTGTCATCTCATACCACTGATTCTCCTTGGGTTATTGACTCCGGAGCCTCAAACCACATGACCGGTAAGTCAAATTTATTTCAGACATATAACCTTCTCTCTGGGAGAGATAAGGTGAGACTAGCTGATGGTTCTTTCTCTACCATAGCTGGCCAAGGTACCATACCTCTCCCACTCGGCCTTACCCTTTCTAATGTTCTGCATGTTCCGAAATTACTTATAAATTTGTTGTCCATTAGTAGTATAACTCACTCCTTGAACTGTTCAGCCACTTTTTTTCCATCTTCATCTGTGTTTCAGGATTTAGCCTCGGGGAAGACGATTGGTAGAGGAAGCATGGTGGATGGTCTCTACGTGTCGGAGAATAAAGTTGGTCTTGTGGCTATAGAGTTCATGAATTTGTCAAGTGAGAGTCAAGCCTATTTATGGCATAGTCGTCTAGGTCATCTTTCTTTTGAGTCATTAAAAGTTATGTTCCCAAAGTTGTTTGAATCCTTGTCAGTGAGTCARTTRCAGTGTCARACATGTCAATTGARTAAACATTGTAGAAGTTCTTTACCTTTGAGAAATAACATATCTGAATTTCCATTTCATATTGTTTATTCTGATGTTTGGGGCCCTGTCACTCTACCCATTGAGGCTAGATATAAGTACTTCATTACCTTTATTGACGATTACTCTATATACACTTGGGTTTACCCTATGCGATCTCGAGATGAAGTGCCAAAAATTGTGAAAAACTTTCAACGCATGGTGTTCACTCAGTTCCAAACTGAAATCCATATCTTCCAGTCGAACAATGCGAAGGAATACTTCCATAGTGATCTCACGGAGTTTTTTGCTTCGAGTGGGTCATTTCAGCAAAGCTCTTGTGCCAGGACACCCCAACAAAATGATGTTGTTGAACAAAAGAACTGTCACCTTCTCGAAATAGCTCGTGGCTTATTAATTCATATGAGTGTGCCAAAACGTTTTTGGATGGATGCAGTTTTGTGTGCTACATACATCATCAACCTTATGCCATCTCGATTACTAGAGTATAAGGCCCCACATCAGCTTCTGTTTCCCACAACTCCGTTGTCTACCATTCCGATGCGTGTTTTTGGGTGTCATTGCTTTGTCCATAACTTGTCCCCTACTCGAGGTAAGCTTGATCCTCGGGCTATTCCTTGTGTTTTCCTTGGTTACCCTTTTATCTCAAAAGGGGTATCGCAGATATGATCCTACCTCTCGCAAGTACTATGTCTCCATTGATGTATCCTTCTTTGAGAATCAACCTTTCTTCTCGGTTTCTCCTCAGGAGGAGAGTAAGGGTTGAGGAGAAACAGGCGACTCAAACTCAACTACCTCCTTTACCCGATCCTCCTCCATTCCGGGTTTTTCACTGTCGCCATAAAAGCCAGCAGAGTTCAAGAGCCGTGGAACCTGACACTATGCAACCAACATCATCGGATTCACCAAAGGCAAATCCGTCTCATCAGCCAAGTACACTTGCTCCTATTGATATGCATGTTCCTCTCAATGTTGATTCACCTATCATCAATGATCTTGATATTCCTATTGCTAAGAGAAAGGGTGTTAGATCTTGTACCACTAATCATCTTATCTCTAATTTTGTGTCCTATGATCACGTTTCACCTTCATTCTGTGCATTCCTCTCTTCTGTGGACAGTGTCCCCGTTCCTAAGAATGTGGTAGAAGCTATATCTAAACCCGAATGGACAGATGCAGTGCAGGAAGAAATTGATGCATTACACAAAAGTAGCACTTGGGAGTTGGTGGACCTTCCTGAAGGGAAGGAACTAATGAGTTGCAAGTGGGTGTTCACAGTGAAACACAAGGCTGATGGAACTGTTGAAAGGTACAAGGCTAAACTGGTAGCAAGAGGTTTTACGAAGGTATATGGAGTGGACTATGAAGAGACTTTTGCTCTAGTAGCCAAGATGAACTCTATCAGGATCCTTCTTTCATTGGCAACAAATCTTGGCTGGAAACTTCACCAATTGGACATCAAAAATGCTTTCTTGAATGGTGACTTGGAAGAAGAAGTGTACATGACTCAACCTCCAGGTTTCTGTGCCAAAGATAGTGAACAAAAGGTGTGCAGGTTAAAAAAATCTTTATATGGGTTGAAACAATCACCTCGGGCTTGGTTTAGTAAGTTCCATTTAGYAGTTCAACAGATGGGGTTCAAACAATGCCAGTCAGATCACACTCTATTTGTGAAAAGAGGTGAAGGGAAAATTGCAGCTCTTATTGTGTATGTGGATGACATAGTGATCACAGGAGATTGGGAGGCTGAAATACGGAGACTAAAAAAATTCTTAGCCACTCAATTTGAGGTGAAAGATCTAAGTCCCTTACGTTATTTCCTTGGAATTGAAGTTGCCCGCTYTCACAAGGGCATCTTTATTTCCCAAAGGAAATATGTATTAGATCTACTAGAAGATACARGCAAGTTGGGGGTAAAACCAATTGACTCACCAATTGAATCCAATCACCAGCTGGGAGACAGTCAGGGAGAGTTTTTGAAAGATGTGAAGAAGTTCTAGAGACTCGTAGGGAGACTCTTGTATTTGTCTATGACCAGGCCTGATATTGCTTATGCAGTGGGTGTCCTTAGTCAGTTCATGCACAATCCTAGGACAACTCACTTTGAAGCTGCAGAGAGGATCCTTAGATACCTCAAGAAGTTTCCCGGAGTTGGTTTGTTGTTCAAAAAACATGGTCACTTAAAGGTGGAAGTATATACTGATGTTGATTGGGCAAGAGCAATCGATTATCGAAAGTCTACCAGTAGGTATTGTGCCTTTGTATGAGGAAACCTGATCACATGGAGAAGTAAAAAACAAAGTGTGGTGGCTAGACCTAGTGCTGAAGCAGAATATAGAGCGATGTCTCATGGGGTTGCTGGAATCATGTGGATAAGAAATCTGTTAGATGAACTGGGTTTTGCAGTGAGCAATCCTATGTCACTCTACTGTGACAATAAAGCTGCCATCAATATTGCTACTAATCCAGTCCTGCATGATAGGACGRAACACATTGAAGTGGACAAGCATTTTATTAGAGAGAAACTTGTAAATGGAGAGTGTGTACTCCATATGTCAGCTCAGAATAACAACTTGCAGATATCTTCACCAACGGTCTTCATCATGTGCGGCACAATGATCTGTGTGACAAGTTGGGCATGATTGACATCTATGCTCCAACTTGAGGGGGAGTGTTGAAATAATTCAGTTATTTGTGTTAGGGTTTGTTTGGCTAGTTAAAGCGTTTTTTATTTTTGTTATTTCTGTTATTGTACTCACTTACAGCAGGGGCACAAGGGTCTTTTCCCTTCTTATTTCTACCGCCCTATATAATATAATAAAAGCTGACGTCGCCAACACGGTTCTATTGCTCCAAACTTTTTCTTCTTCCTTTCTTCCTTCTCCTTTCTCTCTTCTCTATTTCCTCATATTTCAATCGGATTTATTGTCAAGAAACTCTTCACCCTAACTACTACACAAGCTGCCTCACATCATTCTCGCTTTGCTTTAAAACTCCATCCTACGGCTTTATAGTCTCTGCTAACTCCCCAGCCATCTTCTCATTTAACCAGAAACCTCCTTCCCCCTTCTTATCACACTTTACAATTCCTCGTATACAAACATCTTCAAGTAATTGAAGGTGACCTAATACTTAATTTTTGCATTGTATGTGAGATTCAAGATTTGGTGGACCAATTACAAAGGGTAGCTTTTGAATGGTTTAAACTGGAATTGTGCAGAATCATAGTATGGGCCTTATGGCAATGACTTGGTGGGTCTCATTGCAAAAACAATTCAAGAACTCTAATGTATGCTATGCCTAATTGTCTGTCTGATGTGTTTGGTTTCAAAATGGGTTGTTATGAAATATATTCTTGAAAAGAATCCAGACACTGGAAGAACAAAAAGGAAAAAAAATAAAGAAAATCAAAACTTTGAAACAATAGTTCCGATCATGTCATTATAAATTTCACTTGGTACCGCAATACTTTGGAAAGATGACACTGACAAGTAGATTGAATCTATAAAGTCATGACTTTAATGTTCTTTGAACGTATAAACAGCATTAAAAAACGTCGGCAGTTAAGACACAAAAGCCCTACCTTAAAAAAGAGAAACAGAAAACAAATGAATTTAGACAAAAAAAAAAAAAAAAAAAAACTAGATGACAAAGTTCCGCAATCACACCTCCATCATCCGGCTTTACACTTCTTTGTATGTGTCTTCCAATCGGTTCGTACTGCAAATGGTTTTGAACACTTTTCACATTTAAATTTTTTCTCGCAGTGTTTACGAAGGTAATGTTTCTTTATTCCCGTGAGATCACCCAAAGCTCTTGAGGGATCATGATGAATACATGAAGGCTCAGGGCAAACAAAGACTTGTTTCCGGACCTCTTTCTTTGGTCCCCCTCCAAGCTTCCAAGGAAGGTCGTGGCCGCGGCGGTGAAGTTGCAGGTTCTGCTCGCGTGAGAACTCTTTCTTGCAGATTTCACACACTAATTGGTCAGTCGAAGATAGCGTTTCAGGCGATAACGCTATCACCTCTGCATCTGGGTCTGAAACCAAAGCAAAATTAAGAAAGTGTACAATGTTATCCCTTTCTAAATTTCGGTGGTTATACATCTCCAATGTTACCTGGCGTTCCTGGGAGTCGCTTTCTCCTTGGTGGAGCTGTTTGATCACTAGAAGGAGAAAACACAACAAACCCTCCCGAATCCGCCGAATGGGGAGCCGTTGGGTCACCAGAAAAGAAAACGATAACTTCTCCTGAATCAGAAGAAGGGAGCATCGGTTGGCTACCAAAGGGAAATAATGTAACTTCTCCGGAACCCATCGATGGAGCTGCTTGGTCACCGCCAGAAGACAAAGGGGTTCCTTCTTCTCTTGATCCCGTAGGTGGAGCTCTTTGGTTACCCGAACAAATAACAGTAGCTCCTGCTGAGCCCGTTGATGGTGGAACTGTTTGGTTACCCGAACAAGGCATAGTAGCTCCTACTCCTGAATACGGTGGAGCTATTTGGTTGCCAGAAGAAGACACAGTAGCTTCCCCTTCGGAAGCTAACGGCGATGGCGCTTTCTCATTACCGGAAGACAATACAGTGGCTTCTTCTTCGGGGGCTGACGACGGCTGTTCCGCTTGCTTACCGGAGGCAGACAAGGTGACTTCTTTTCCTGGAGCCGACAACGACGGATCTGCTTGGTTACCGGAAGAAAGCACGCCGGCTTCTCCGTCTGAAACAAACGACGATTTACCCTCTCCGTTTCCAGAAGAAACAGTATCAGCTTCAGCTTCTCCTGAATCCTTAAAAACGGTAATGGTGGGGGTTTTCTTCAAATTGAGAGACATGTTTCTCCAAAAATTCTACGATTCTTAGAATACCAAAGTATTGCTGAATATATAATTTCAGGAATTTCTTTCAAAATGAAGAACGAAAACCCTACCTTTCTAGGGTTATTCTGGCAGTTCTCATTTTAGATTTCTAGGGCTGCTTCTGAGCTCCCATCTCGTCGGATTCTAGGGTTTGCTCTCGGCTCTAAACCTCTAATCGACCAGTCACAAACTCAGGCTCCTCTCTTCTCGCTCAAAACGAACAAAAGCATGTCTTTTCGTCGTTTTGTTTATGACGGACCGACGGTGCTGTAGTTATACGGGGCCTTGGCGCTATGTTATGCCGCCGGGCGCCAGATATAATCCAGGCATATGGGGTGTAAACGGATTCTTAGTATCCGATTTCGTATTAATCGAATCGAACTGGACAATTGGATAATTGGATAATTTCAACTGTCGAACTCGAATATACTTATATACCGCATTACAACTCATACCGACTTTGAGCAGCAAGGGTAATTGACGAGAAAGATGAATTAATAGTTTACGAGTTTTTTATATGTTTTAATCAAATAAATGAGAAAAAAATTATTGTTTATTTATATTATTTTATTTATTAAAAGTAAGTAGCAATTCCAAATGATGATAATGTATTCAAAATATTTTATAAATATGTACTTTTTTATTTTTTATTTTTATATTTATATTTTTTATTGTTAATTGGATGCAAATTGCAAAATATAAATCTGATTATATAATCACCCCAACTAAATATGTGATAATCAGATCCATTTGCAAAGTTTCAAATATCATTGGCAGGCCTACCTGCTTGATTAGATTCTTCTTTTTGTAATGTTTTATCTTTTTTATGTATCATTTTTTTCTTTTATTCATTTATCAAAGAAATGTAGTTGCTCAATTTATAATTTAAACATCAGAATTAAAAAGGGAATAAATTAAAAAATGAGTATTTGAGTCAAAAAAATTCTACAATCTTATTCATATTTTTAATAATAATGTAAATTTAGAATTATATATGTGTTCAATTTTTTCTATAATTTTTTTTTTGTATTTCTGTGTAAAAATAACTCTTATATGTGACACTTACTCTTTGTTTAATATGATATTATACATGTGCCTGAATGTTTTTCTTTTTTGTAAAATTTATGTATTTTTGTGTTTTATTTATTTATGACATTAAATGCTAACGCATTTGACCCAAAAGATGAAATATTAATCTTTTCCAAACAGTATAATGATTTCATTTTTTATTGGTTCTAAATTATGTATTTCATTTTCATTATCAATAAAAATATTTTTTGTTTATTACACTTATTTTTTTAATTTGATTAATAAAAATATTATAAATGTGTCTAATTTTTCTACATTTTTCTAATTTTATATATTTATTTCTATTTTAAAATTTTGACTACCTAACTATGACTTCATAGGTTGATCAATTTGATTTGGATGGTTGAATTGCTTAGCCACCACTTGGATAAAGAATGATTTTATTTTTTTAAACAGTTTTAAAATATATGGACTTATATTGTTAAAAGTTTTAACATAGATATAATTGGTAGCATTTATTAGTGAAAAATAACTTAAATATATGATTTAATAAGAGAAAATGGGAATTAATGAGAGGAGATTAAATGAGGTGGAAAGTAATAATTAAAGTTACATTTTCACCCCTTACAATTAGAGATGGACTAAATAAACAAATATGGGCATTTTAGTAGCCATTAAAATTGGCATTAAAACTGTAATAAAATGACTTTTATACCCTTTCATAAACAAAGATATGGAGGGTAAATTTAGTCCAAAAAAACTTCCACTCTACATCCACGCTTTTATATATAGTATAAATATAAATTTATTGTTTACATATAACAATAAATAATAGGAAATTAGATGTGAGGTATAAACCCAACCCGCCCCTACATACCCTTGAATGCAGAAAGGGTAAGGTGGCTTTGCATTTTCATGTGTAGGGAGGGTTTGGAACCCTACCCACCCCTACCCGCTAAGGATTTAGGGTAGGTATAGGTTGGGAGGTTCAAAAAGGCGAGTAGGGTCTAGAATTTATAAAACCCTCCTCATACCAGCCCCATTGCCATCTCTACATGCAGGGAACAATCATTTTTGTTTAGAGTTGAAATATCAAATTTGATGTTTCAAATAACAACAACAATTATTAATCAATCTAAAACTTTTCTGATTATGTGGCATGACAAGTCACATTTTAACACCATTTCTATTGATCAACCCCAAATATTTCATGATGAAATAACAATGATACCAAACACAACCTTAGATTTTCAATATCAAAGTGACTTTGATAATCGAAGGATAACATATTTTTGGTTTACATATGATCAATGGTTAATATTAGTCGAATGGCATGAGGGAGAAGGTGGTCATGGATATAGAGCATTGGTTGAAGTTTAGTTGCTTCATAAGCCCTACTATTTGGGCTAGTTAATGATATGAGAATCTCCTCGGAGTTTATTTTTCTTAAAGGAGGATAGGACATAGTTTGAACTTTCAAGAGATGCAATTTTGGTCCTCCCGTGCATGGTAATTCTAATATTTTCTTTACGTCTCACCCTCTGTATAATCATGGACCATGGCTGAAGGTGGAGAATCAATGGAGAGATGATTGAATCCTACCAATTTTTTAGGAGTATATGGAAGAGCAAAGGATTAGAAGTGAGGAAGCTTCTAGGAAGTCATTGAATTTTGGGACGGATTCCGGAGAAGGATGAAAGTGGGAGGTAGGAGTTCGGCTTCAGCCAGGGCAAAGCCCATTCAAGCAGCCTTTACTGCCTTACATTGAGAATATCTCCATACTTGTATGCTTTATTTCATGGAGAGATATTCCCAATGCAAGGTTGCAAAATGCTGTTAGAACGGTGTGGGCACATATTTGCCCTGAACCCTGATAGAAGCCGATCTCGGGAGGTAGGGAGCTCTTCAAGGTTGGTTGATCCAATTGATAATATGAAGAGTGGTGACGTGGAGCATTTGAACATAGTTGGTAAGTCCTGGAAATAGTGAGGACAAGTCGAATGTAGAGGTTGAATTCTAGGAAGTGGTTAGGGTTTATTGGGTCAACGTCCAAAAGCATCCAAGATGACAGTTTGAGGAGGAGGACACTTATTGAAAACCATAAAATCTCCAAATGCAAATAGGATGTTGGTCAAGCTCTTGAGGAGAAACCCATATTCAGCTAGGGAAAAGGGAAGGGATTTGTATTTGGAACCAGGGGAGTCAAGTAGGAGTTAGAGCCAATTGTGAGCAAATTTTAGAAGCCCAACAAGGAAGAAAGTCTGAAAGTCAATAAATATTCCTTTGTTTAAACCATTAAATAAGGAAAGTTTGTTTATATTTGCTTGGAACTATTGGGGTGCAAATAGAAAAGTATTCTTACAAAATATTTTGAACCTTAGTAAAAAGGAATCACCTGATTTTATTTATCTTTTAGTTGAAGGTTTTAGACTTGAAGATGGGCACAATCCAAAAGAAAATCAAATATCAAAATGTTGTTTTAATTTCCTCTAAAGGTTTGTTGGGGGTTTGGCTCTTTTTTGGAAGGATAATATTATGTCATTGTGCTTGTTGATAGCAATAGGTTTATTTTAACTTGTATTAAATCCTTTCCTCCTAATCATGATTGGTTGCTTTTTTTGCTTATGCTGAAGCTAATAAGAATATGAAATTATGTTTTTGGCTTTCGTTTTTGAATGTACTGAAAGGTTATAATTTGGTTGTTATGCCTTGTATTTTTGTTGGTGATTTTAATTATGACTTACATGTGAATCTTGTTGCTGTAGATACCAATAATGAGTGGGGAGTAGTAGGGGTGCAAGTCGGGCGGATTGTGTTGCGCTTATGGTCAACCTAGGCTTGGTCCTAAAATTTGAGCTTAAGGTCCGAACCCGGACTAAGCTCGAGATCAAGCCCAATTTTCCCAACCCAAGCCCAACCCACACTGTAATTTGATGAACTTTAGTTGGACTCAGGCCTGGGCCGGAATTGAGTTGGTCAATGAACGCACTCTAAAATTATACATACATACATACATACACATGTGTATAGTTGGGCCAGGCTCAGGCCGGGTTTAGGCTACCTAAGGGCTAGGCCTAGGCCTGACCCGAAAAAATAGAAAGGCCCGATTTCTTGGGCCCGAGCCCAACCCATGTAAAATTTTGGGTTGGGCCGGTTCGGGCTCGGGTTGGGCCCACCCAAGTTGCACCCCTAGGGAGTAGATCCTCTTTAGCCTCTATTTTTAGGGATTTTATGGGCACCACGTAATTAACTGAAATCAACTTAGGTCTCAAAGGTGATAACACTTGGACCAATGGGCAGCGAAGCCTAGGGCTGCCAATGGATCAGGTTTGGGTCCAGTCTAAGTAGAACCGAACCGACAAGAATTACTAAGGAGCCGATTATAATAAACCTATTGAAAATATTATATATAATAAACCGATTCGGGTCAGGCCTGAATCGGTTTGAAACTGGGTGGAACCGGTTCCTAGCCAATAAGAATCGAGACAATATATTAGAAACCAAAACCGACCCAATTGGTTTAGGTCCATCTGGTCTATCAAGTATAAAGCAAGATCTTTGAACTTGGAAGAGAGAGAAATTTGGTGATATTGATAAGAAGGTGAATTGGATGAATTAGAAATTACTTGAGTTGGAGGCTAAGGATCAAAATTGGAAAATTCAAAGTTTGATTGAGGATTTGGAAAAATTGGATGTTGGTAGAAGGAAGGCGATTATTGCTTTAGCAATAATTAAATTGGAGACAGAAGTCTAGAGAATGTTGGTTGAAGGAAAGCGACTCCAATACTAAGTTCTTTCATAATTTTGTGAAATATAAGAAACAACAAAACCAAATTTCATGGGTCAAGAATGAGAATGGTGATTGGTGAATGGGTCTCAGATCATAGTTTGATAACTTATGTCTTTTATGAACATTTTAAAGTGCAATTTCAATCAAGAAAGGGTGAAGCCTTTGAGGGGATCCAAGGTTTCTTTTGAACCTATTATAACAGATATAAATAACAAATGTCTAATTGCTCCTTCCCATCTTGGAAGAGGTAAGAGAGGTGGTTATGTCCCTAGGTGTTTTGAAAGCTCCGGTTCAGACGTTATCTCCATTATGGTTTACCAAAAATTTTGGGATCTGATGGTAGGACATTTTTGAATTTGTGCTTGGTTTTTTTTTTCATAATGCTCGGTTTGGAAGAGTACAAATGCAAATATGTACAGTGCAAAACCTTATATTTTGTATTATTTTATATGTATTTGTGTTGTACATATTTATATTTGTACTCTTTCCAAACTGAGCCTAATAAAAAAATTGTGAGGAGGGTAAATAATACTTTTATAACATTAATCCCCAAAGTGGAA